CTCTGCTCTGCAGGTGGGCGCGATAGGATCGACGAGCCCTCCAGGGGGCGCCTTCGAGCCCTGCTAGGCCGGAGTCCCCCGTCACCAAGCACAAGCCAGGGGGGAATTCCCAGGCAGCGGCCCCTCTTTCAGCGCCGAGCAGACCCCCTTCTCCCCGACCACACGGCTCACATCCCTGCTCCTGCTTCCGCGGTCGCCTCGGATTCACCCCAAGTATGTTGCTGAGCGCAGCTCTGGAGCCGCGGGGCTCCCGGCCAGGCCACAAGAGCTGTCCCGCGGTTTAACTTCGGGAGGAGCCTTGCTGTTCTGAGAGGGGCGGCCAAGCCCTGGGGTTGGGGTTCCGGGCCACGCCCCTCTCGAGAGGCAGGGCTCCTGCGTGGGGCCCCAGAGGACAAGCTCAGACACCGAACTAACTGCGATCCCTCCCGCGGTGGCGCCAAGCTCCGGGCGTAGCCCAGGCGCACAGCAGGCCGCCGCCATCCTATGTGGCTCCAGAACTAAGCTTTCATCTTCTTCACTTAGTCCTTAAACACCGCCTCGCCAGCGTCCCTCGCCCAGGTACGGGGAGTGTAGAGAGAGACTTGGGGAGTGAGAGAGTCTGCTTCCAAGGGGGACCCTGGGCCAGAAAGGTCAGATTTGGGGTCGATGAGGAAGTCAGCTTACCATGACTTTGTGTTCAGTAAGGAAAGGGTGGGTTCCCCTAGGGTGTGGCCCCTGCATTTAGCCAAACTTCTCCTCCACCCAGTTCTTGCTTTCATATTGGGTACTACTCACAGAGACCTGCCTCCCCATTCTGCCTGGGGAGACCAGAGTGAGATAGACAGAGGGGCAGGCAGTCTCTCTCTAGACCAGCCCCAACGGAGTTCAGCCTGGGGGAATGCCCTCCTCCACCCAGGCGGCTCCAGCCTCGCCTCCTAGAGGCCAGGGTGGGCCCCAGCTCCAGCATCCTCCCTGTACATCTGGCAGACACGTGCTTACAGAGCAGGACCCACAGCTTCGGGAAACCAGAGTCTTACTACCAGGAAATTCAGTCTTTGTGTGCACATCTGCATAAACCATCTGTGTGTCTCAGCTTGTTCATACGTCTTTATTGTATGCTTACTGTGCCTGGTCCTGTGCTAGGCATTGTCCAATATAAAGTGGTGTAAGATACGGAGTTTTCGGAATGACAGGAGAAATCAGACATGACCAAATGCCCCTCTTTCTGCACTAAACTAAACCATGCTCCATTGTGCTCTGCTGGACAGCAGATGGTGAACAGCAGAAAGGACCGCAGTTAGTGAGTGCAATGGGACTTAGGAGAGGGGGAAATGTCTAGGTTAGTTCTGAGAAAGAGCTACCTGAGGCAAGGCAGAGATGAGGGACTAGGAAAATAACAGGAGGAGCTGTGCAGAAGGGCAGTTAGGAAGACTGGCTGAGCAGGGCTGAAGGAAGGGCTGCTGGAGAGCAAGGGAGGAACCTGTTGTCTACACCTTTCTGTGACTGCTCCTCTCTCCCCCACCCCACCCCACCCTCCACCCGCCTAGGGACCAGCAGGCAGCTGTTGCTTCTCCCTCGTTGGCCCATGTATCTCCTGCATGGGCTTCTTTGCATCCCATCACCCTATTCCCTAGTCTCTGCCTCTCTCCTTACCCTTCTCCAATTTTTGTCTACTCTCCACCACTATCATGTCTCCCCCAGTAAAGGCATTAAAGCAATCATGTGAAGGGGCCCTGCTCCCCCTTTCCAGATCTTTTCAAGAGCAGGGATGAACACGATCCCCACTCACCCACCCCCAAGGGCCAGGGCTTCGGACCTAGTAGTAATCCTCGCCCTCTTCACTCTCAGCCTCTTCCTCAGGAACCAGGTGCTGGGATGGTAGCTGGGGGAGGCCTGTGGAGTTCAGCTGGTCTACAAACACATGTGGACAAAGGAGAGAGAACAGGAAAGAGGGGCTGTCAGTGTCCACGTATCCCAGTCTGAGAAAGCCATGCTTGCATGTGTACTCACATGCACATACACACTCAAGGGCCCGAACCCACCACCATCCCCTCCTGCCTCCAGAACCCAGGGCTCCTCCCCCTTACCAGGTGTGAGTACAGTCAGGCTAGCTGGGGCCTCCACCTGGCCCAGGGCATTGCGGGCCAGGCAGCGGTAGGTGCCCTCATCACTGGGACGAACAGCCTGAATCTGCAGCCAGCTTGTCACCTCAAACCTCTGGGGTCCACCCCTAAACTGCAACCAGAGGAGGAGGAGTCAGCAGGGTCCTTCTAGGTGGGCCCTGGGCTGCCCCTGGGGAAGCTCTGCTCCCTAGCCCTACCTGCACAGAGATGTGGGGGTCATCTCCTGGCAGCTGAATGTCCAAGCCGTCCTTCCTCCACTCGATGGAGGCCATGGGGTAGGCAAACACCTCACAGCCAAAGATCACATCCTTCCCCGTCACATTCCAAATGTCGTAGGGGTGCAACACGATCTGGGGCTCTGGGGATGGAGGTGGGAGGCCTGAGAACAGGGTGGAACATCCAGCCCAGCAAGGATCCCATATATACAAACCATTGTGAACATGTTTGTGGGGGACACAATGTGTGCAGAGGTAAATACACCTCCATGAACACAACATGACACACACACTAATGTGGATGCAGGTACACAAAGAGTGCAAACAAGATGCACAAACAAGCACACACACGCAAACACACATGCGCACGCACACACACACACATGCACACATACAAACCTCAGCTTGGCAGCCACACTCTGTCCCCGATTGCTCCCCTGTCCTCATTCCATCCTCTAGGCCCCCATCCCAGTGTTTGTAACCAACACTTCCCTCTTCCACCCCCCCCCCTTTTTCTATCCAGGTCTGGTTGCCAAAGGCCCCAAAAGCTGCCCTTCCCCCACCTCACCCTGGGGGAGTGGGAGAGGCGTCCAGACCGCAAAGCAGAGAACCTGAAACCATCCAGGCGGCAGGCAGAAAGCCTGGAGCTGGAGAAAGTGTTGGGACCCCCACAGGGTGTTTGTTTTCCTGGCAGCCTCAACCAGTCAGACCCATCAAAGGGGCTCCGGAAGTGAAAGTTACTAAAGCCGCCAAACAAAACTTGAGACTTGAATGGCCCCCGAGCTCCCTAGGATGGGGGGAGGGTTAGAAGTGTCCCCTCCTCCACTAATCCCTCAGCACAGAGGGGGGTTGGGATGGGGAGGTGGGGAGCCTGGGATACAGCTTGCTGTACTAGCGCAAATGAAACCTGATTTCATCACAGGAACCTGTCTCCCTGCCCGGCTCCAGCGGTCTAGGGGGAAGTCTGGGAGTCGCTTCACTTTCTCAGTTTTGAGGCCAACAATTGGCTATGTGTCTGCTCCCTCGGAGACGTGGTCCCTGCAGGTGGGTCTGGAACCTTCAGGCGTGTGGGCCTCAGCGGACCCGCAGGCCAAGAACAAATGCCGTCGGGGGTCAGGGAGAACTGCCTCCAGTGAGTAGGAGACCCTACCCGATTCGCAGGGCCCTGGATGCACCACAGTGAGGTTGGCTTCGGGCCGAGCGAGGGCCGCCTCCTGCAGACGGCAGATCTGCGAGTAGGTGCGGCCATCGGAGCCGCAGAGCGGGTGCTGGGAGCGGCAGACGCACAGCGGCTCCGGCACCTCCCCGCGGCTCAGGTCACCGCCTGTGTCCAGCCGGCACTCGAGCTGCTCGCCGCAGCGCCCGTAGAAGTGGGCGCTGGGGTCCAGGTCGCAGAGCTGGCCCTCGAGGTTGGCGCATTCCCAGCAGCAGCCGCAAGCGTCGAGCACCCGGCCGGCCAGACAACCCCGCGGCGCGGCACACTCCTCGGACCCGCAGGGAGCGCAGCCCTCGCCCTCCGCCAGCAGCCGCAGCCAGCCGCGGCGCAAGTAATCCGGGCCTGGCGACGGCCTCGCACCAGTCGGGAGCGGCATCCGCGCCGCCAGCAGTAGCAGGGGCAGCGCCAAGGCAGCGGCGAGCGGCTGTGGCATGGTTAGCTGGAAGCCCTGCGAGCACTTGGGGCATCAGCGGGCTCGTGCACCCTGCCAGGGAGGGAAGCCAGGTCAGGAGGTCAGACGCAACCTCACTGTTCCTCGCACCAAAGTTTGACTCTAGCACTGCCCCCTCCACTGCTACCCTGGAGTCAAGTAGACCCTCAACGCCGAGGCACAAGGGTCATCCAGTTACAGTGGGTGGTAACTGATTGGGCTATTCTGGGGGGGGAGGGGATTAGGGAGCGGTGAGAGGATGGGGTGATAAAGCTCAGGTGTGCACGTGCACGCCTGTACACACACACACCCCCACACACACCCCACACACCAGCACCACCAATACACACCATCCAACTCTGAAACTTCCTGCCCTAGAACTGGATGGGAATGGATGGCCCCAACATGAAATGAGTTATTAATAAGGGGGGGAGGGGGTGTCCTGGGGCCCAGAGCGCTCACCTACTGTCCGGGACTAAGTCCTTCAGCGCAGCCAGTGCTTCCAAAGGAGCAGACAGTGGAAATAAAGCGGTGGAGACTGCTCCGGCTGAAGGATCTCTGAGAGCCCACGGACTTGGACTCCGAGAGCAGCTCCTCCGCCTCTCTCCCCGCCCCTAGACGTCGCACCCCACCTCCCCACCCGCAAGCTAACCCCTACTTCTGAAGCGGCCAAGTTTATGCGGCTGCACGGGATCCTCCTGGGCCACTTCCCTCGGCCTGGACCAAAGTCACAGTGAAAACAGAGGAGCCGTAACCAGACACCAAAGCTGGGCGACGGCCAGAGACCGGGGGTGGGGTGGGGTGGGGGGCGGCATAGGGGTGGCTGCGAAGCTCGCAGAGTGGGCTGGCCGGCCAGGCCCTGTCCCATCTGACTTTACAGTCCAGGGGGCAGAGGTTCTGGTGCCTGTCGGGGCTCCTGTATAGAGCAGGGCCTCGCAACGTCGTCTCCCCGCAGCCCAACACCGGCTTCCCGGGGGTGATTGAAGGCTTGTCCGTCCAGCTTCCTCACCCAGGCGCCGACCAGAGACGGGGCGCTTACATCAGCCTCCCCACATCTGGCCTCCTCCTCCCTCCCTACATCCGGCAGGTGTTTTGAGCGCGGATGAGCATGGTGATTAGAGGTTCCAGCCGACTAGCGGCCGCAGGAAGAGGTGGGCGGGGCGCCTCCCTGGTCGGGATTACAGGTTAGGGTTGCGAAGCTAGCAGGGCCGGAGCATACGGTCTCTAGCCGCCACCGTGGCACTAGGGGCGAGGGACAGGGAGGAGAGCAGGCCCCGCCCCGCGGTCCCAGGCGGTTTACAGAAGCCAGGCTCAAGTTCTGTTTCCCGGGGCAAACGCGGAGGTCTGCAGGGGGAGGGGACTGCATTTAGTCAGGCTCCGCCCAGAAGGGCCTGGCCGGGGCGGAGCGACTGGAGCCCGGGCCTCCAGACCCACCCCGAAGTCCGGAGCGGGTCTGCGGCCTCCAGC